GTAGGCCACTGCGAGAATCTAATGTTCCAGATGACCGGCCCAGCGACCACCGAACTTAATCAGGTAACTGTTCTAATGCAATTCGTGAGGTAATGGCGAGGATCGAAATGGCAGCAGCGTCGTTCTGGTGCCTTCCTGCTTTTCCAGAAATGTCTTTTTTCAGCACGAGTTTCAAAATCGTCTTCTTTTAAGAATTCGGACTGGTGTTTAGAGGCAGTTTGGCCCGCACATATCGTCATAAAATTTTTTTTTTTCTCAGCTTCCTAGCTGAACCAGCTCCAAAGATCGTTCTCCCGACAAAAATAATTTAATATGCTCGTACCTATGAAAGAGTCGTAAGCGAATGCTCATTTTACGTCCCCGGATTCGGAAATAGACATATTACTGCAAAATTTTAAGGAACTTAGTTTTATCCTCGAGTTGGCTTTTTGCCATCTGTTACTAATCGCGACTTTAAGGTGTCCGTATACATGATGTACACGCGCGTTTAATCCGAATTTGAAACCTTATTCTCACACAAGGATGTAGAATATTCATATAAAGTTTTTGCTTTCTATTTTTTTTTTGATTCCTGAAATTCTTTTTTCGCCAAAGAATTAACATAAATTATTTACTCGTTCGCACGTGAGACACACGCGGCACGTGGACGATGATTTTAGAACGGGGCGTCCCACATGGGATAGGAACATGCTTCAGCTTCACGGCTTGTTGAATTGCCAGTAGGTGACGAAGGTGCGAACACACACACATACACACACACACACACACACACACACACATACACATACACACACCGATAACCTCTCGTCGATATGCGTTTTTGCATCTACGTAAATATGCGTTTGCACATTCGCGTAAATATGCGAAAACGCATAAAAAAGCCAAAGAATATCAATTCTTCAAAGCAGACCTCATGGAAAAATGCTGGATAAGACATCGACAAATATTATCACGATCACAAACACCTGTATTTTTCTTAACGTTTATTTGTTTAATCCATATGTGATTGTTTTGCAGACAAGAATTCCCGTTTACATGAGTCACTTGCCGGCCGGTACATCGATGGCGAACGTTTTGCACTGGGCGCAAATGGTGAACAGCAAAATGACGCAAATGTACGATTACGGTTCGACGAGCAAAAATATGAAACATTACAATTCGGTTAGTAGTTGGGCTTCAGAACTGAGCTTATTTCAAAGTGGATGTCGCACAACAGCGGTCCGACCATGAATTATTTTTTTTAAAAAAGTATGACCATTTAAATATCACTCGAGAGGAGTGGAGTTTCAGAAGCGAACGGCGAAGGACGGTGTTTCATTTTCTGATGTTTCCTTCTCCAAATTTTTTTAAAACGGTGATGTTTC